AATATTATAGTAAAATAAGAAGTATACTGCAGCAAATTTAACCACAAAAAGTGAACAGAATTACTTATATTTTGTGAAAAAGTGGAAATATTTTCTCCATTTTTTAATATTTACGGTGACGTAATCACTTTAAGACTAATTTTGTTTCTGACAACGGCCCCCTGGATGCTAATTCTACTCACCCACCTGTGAGATAGTTAGTTTAGCAATTGCGAGCGGCAGCAGAAGCACATCTCGATTCGTACGCTACAAGTTATGCACCCGTGAGCTATAGTTAGCATAGGAATTGCGACTACCTAAACATAAAATGCCTTCGCGAAACCCCAAAAGATGGTGGGGGAACATACAGCCAGGAGTGCGTATTACCACACCGGCGCTAGCAGTAACTGCAACTACACGTAAAATATCTATTGACACACAGGAAAAGCGGGATTACTGGAAAGCATATGGGTGGGGGCGTGCGTACTATAGCTAGCAGGAACGGCAACTATTCTTTAATGTCAAATATCTAACAACACAAGAGATGCTAGGAAGCAAACGGGTCGGAGTGCAGCCGAGGTGTTGCATTCTACAACGATTAGTGGCCCCACACCCCCCACCCTCCCACACCCAACAACCGCCCACCCTCCCACACCCTCCCACACTCCCACACCCCACGCTCCCAAACCCCCACCCTCCCACACCCTCCCACACTCCCACACCCCACGCTCCTAAACCCCCACCCTCCCACACCCTCCACCCGACCACACACCACCCTCCCACACTTACCAGAAGACTGTGCCTGATAGGCTGTGCGCACAGGTGAAAGACAAAGACAGAGAGATGGAGAGAATTAAGATTAGGACAGAGATAGACTAACAGCCGATGACATTGATGATATATATATATAAATATATGTAAATAAAGACGACGACGCTGATGATGATGATGATGATGATGACGAAGATGAGGATGATGGTGATAATAGTAGTGATGATGTCGAAGACGACATCGATGACGACGAAGATGTTGATGCAGACAATGACGATGATGATAATGAATATGATTACAATGATGATGAGGATGACAATAAAGACGATGACGATGATGGTGACAATCAATATCATGATGCCGATGACGTTGGTGGCGGCAATAATAATTGCCTAGGTGGTGGTGCTAATGACAACGTAGCATAAAATCATGAACATTTCTATACAATTGTGTCAACACATCTATACTTAGTAACTATCTTATACACACACAAACGAACAAGCGAACTCCCCTCACTAAGAACAGAACCCACGAAAAGAGGGAACGAACGCATGAACGAACAAGCGAACACCCCTCACTAAGAACAGGAATCCATTAACAAGCACATTACAGTCAATGAATTTAATAGACACTCACTGCAGTCGCGTTCGTAAATAAGGATGGAATCCATTACCAAGATGCTTAATAAGTACGGAATCGAACAGTAACAACCCATTATCACTCACTGCAGTTGCGTTCGTAAATAAGGATGGAATCCATTACCAAGATGCTTAATAAGTACGGAATCGAACAGTAACAACCCCATTATCACTCACTGCAGTTGCGTTCGTAAATAAGGATGGAATCCATTACCAAGATGCTTACTAAGGACGGAATCGAACAGTAACAACCCATTATCACTCACTGCAGTTGCGTTCGTCGCTGCCGTCCTCGCAATCGTCCTCGCTGTCGCAGACCCAGTCTATAGCGAGACACTCGCCGTCCTCGCACGTGAACTGATCGCCGTCGCAAGTCGTTGGCACGTCTGCAGCGAGAACATGGCGCTGATCGAAACGCGAACGCACGC